GTCCAGTTCAGTAATACAGAGTCCGGCTCAGTGATGCTGCGTCCAGTTCAGTAATACAGAGTCCGGCTCAGTGATGCTGAGCCCAGTTCAGGACAGCACCTCAGCAGTGCAGTGCAAGGGGCTTGTTGGTCTTGTGTTCAAGCCCATCTGTCGTACCCGGCTCACCCTTTCACTACACCACACCAACAAGCGCGCTGTTGCATCAGAAACCAGATCTTACCCATTAGTCCATTTTTCCAACGGTTTTCCAAAGGCAGAACTTTCCACTCCAGAAAAATCCAGTCAGAAAAAAACCACAAAAGCCACATTTGTACAACTGGAACTACTGCACAGAAAACTAAAAATAGCTCTTTTCTGTTATAATAACAATAATCAGCGCCATCATTATCATTCCTCACATTTGTGCAGAGCTGAAGATGGCTGCCCTGGGCACATGCCCCACACTGCAAGAGAGCGAAGATGTTTTCAGTTGCATTGCATCAGTGTTGTTTTCTTGGACCTGTTGACTTGCATTGTCTTCTCACGTATGCCTTGCAGCGCATGATAAAGCTCCCTAATCCTTTGCCCAGAGTGCATCTGTCACACCTGGAAGAAATAAGTCTGACAGAATCACCCTGTGGGTTTTGAACAGGAATTTTAAGGAATGTTACATTTAGGAGCACTGCACTTATATCTGTGGTTAAGAGGTACAGATGCGCTCAATTATAACTAAGTAAAAACAGGTTTGAGGTGTGAAACTTTCAACTAGTGCTTACACAGGCTGTTAGTGCTGCTGTTTTATTTAGTTACTGTAAAGCTTCCCATTGTTTGTGTAAGATATGATGGATATCGTCTACAAGGTTATAAGTAGATGTTAAGCTTGCTTCATATAGTTTTCCAGCTGTGGTTCCTGAAAAACCTCATGCAGGCTTGACAAGCATTGTGTCTTCACTCACTGCCTCACTTTGTACTGGCAGGACATAAAGCTTCAGTCATCACCTGGTGGGCAGCTTCTGGATTTTACATTTGGCACCTCCTATAAACAAATCTGATTATTAATCTCAATGATATCCTCCAGCTCTCTGTGATGTTCTGTGAAAAGTAAATGTTGCGGGGCTGGCGTGACCCTGGCTCTGTGACCACAGGCATGGTCGAGCCCTGACAGATATCCTGCACCAGCACATCGGGGGAGTGAGGAACTGCTTCGGAGAGACCAGACTGAGCAAGCAGCCATCGTGCTTGTGGCCCTGGTTGGGCTAGAACATGAGAGCACTTGCAAACAAGAGGCCTTCAGGCCCATCTAGCACGTCTGGGAGTTAGTAGCTAATTGAGCCCCATATCTTCCACATAGTTTCCACATGTGTCCTGTGGGCCATGTTTCACTGTTTATTCTGAAACCATGTTCTGCAATCCAAAAGCTTATTCGGGTTCTGATATAGGCAGACATCAATCCACAAGGTGGTGTCACCTGGTCAATGTCCCTTGAGATACACGAGTTATGCAATTGAATAACTCGTCAAAATCCAAGGCACAGGTCCGCCCTCACGTAAACCAACAAGGAGCCTTCCGCTGACCGTGACTGCCATCTAGTGGTGAGAAATATCAACTGCAGCACAAACCAGCTAGGGGCTCCCGGAAGAGAAAGGGACACAAATCTCGAGTAAAGCCGGCGTCACACTTTACGACTTTGCCTAGGATATTCAGTCGCAGCCTTCATTCCCATAATCGGCAGAAAATCACAGTGAGTTGTAGAGAGTCGCAGCTCGCGCCCGTTGCCATCAGTGGTGTAGCGTGACACCCCCCCGCAACTCAGTCATATCGCTCTTAACAGCCCCCACAACTCTACGATAATATCAAATGGGTTTGATTTTCTCATAGCCAGTTGCAGAGAGTCGCAGGGGTGGGCTCTCGTGTCTGCGGTGGTCACAGCCGGAAGTACAGTGTGGCCGCAAGGACAGAGGGAAGGCGGGTGTTTTGGACTGTGGGAATGGAGGAGCGGCTCGTTGGAACCGTGATGTAAAGTCGTGAGGGAATCGTTTGATTAGTCACCCCCTGCCATTCCCAGTCGTATGATACGACACCTCCAGGCCATAAAAAGGCAGCAAGATTCAGCAACTGCAGTCGTTAAATTTGACACGCTCTCGACGAGAAGTTGTGTCGAGTCCTGTAGCTCACTCGATGAAATCACATGACGCCTCAGCTCACTTAATGTACAAGATCCCCAACTGCTTCTTCCATTACTAGTTTGGCACCACATATAAGGGATCTGGGATTTGAAGACCAACGGTTTTGTTCTGCAACGGGAAACAAGTTCCAGGACCAGTGTGCCCTTACAAAGAGGGAGATGAAAAGGAAGGACAGAGCACATGAAGGAGGTCACCGACACACGCCGATGCACGCCTCATCCCTAAGGGAGCAGTGAGAAAATGCTTCACCTGGTCAGTTAAGGGCAGCAGTGTGGATCAGTGCTCAGGGTCCTAGAGTAGCTGTAACTGCAAGGTTGTGGGTTCAAATCCCAAGAGAGACACTGCTGTTGACCAAAGTACTTCACAATGTCCAGTAAAATACACAGCTGTGTAAATGGGAAAGGATTATAAATCACTTTGGCAGAAGTATCAATCAGTATATAAGAGATGCCAGATAGTAAAAGCAGAAGTACAAATCCAGATTACTACAAAGACTGTACAAAGCCAACTGGAAATATACCCAGGCAACCCTATGAACAGCACCGTGGCTGACCACGTTGTGGGCTCTGGGGAGCACCTCCTACTGGTCCACCAACACATTACAGCACCAGCAAGGTTTTCCCTGGAGGTCCCTGCTCCTGACCAGGCCCAGCCGTGAGCTGCTGAGATCTGAGACACAGGGTGGGCAAAGCTTTTTGAACTTCCTTCTACATCTGTACTGAATCCATCACTTGCTCAGAAAAAATAAAATCCATCTCAGAAGTCACTGAAAACATATCTCTGTTTTTCTTTCCATAAGACTTCTTCTCTGCAAAACTGCAGTTCTTGTACATGTTCTGGGAGGAAAACCTTACCTTCCTATTCATGACTTCTACAGAGACAGTGTTTGTACAAGACAGCAGCTGAGCTCTAATCAAGAGCTGCAGCAGACAAGGATACAACTATTCCTCAGTCACCACTCTCACACTTCAGGTGTCTGTATGCTGGGTACGTAAGAGAAGGCCAGAGGGGAGGTGACGTTCTAACCCAGCACACAGGAACAGCTCAAGGCTTGCTACAAAACCTAGAAACTCAAGTCTTCCAGCATCAAGGCGAATGAAAGTTTAGATCAGTACGGACATAATCCGATTAGTCCATCTTAATGGCCATCGATCTGAACACAGGAACCTGCACAGCAGGGATAACCACCATGGATAATCCTCTGCACACCACCACCCAAGGCAGAGATTAAAGCTTAAAGACGGAGGGTTTGAGTCTCAGGATCAGAGGTCAGAGAGGCACTGGCAGCTCAGTGGCGGCAGAAGATTGGGTCTGTGAGGAGTGTGTGTGCGCGGGATCAGTAACTCAGACCTTCGAGATCTGCTCCCAGAGCACAGCTGCGCACCCCTGTACTAACACTTCCAAACTTCACCAGCCACATGACATCTGTGACAAGGCCCAACAGCCCAGCTCATCCTTGAAACATTGAACGCACTGGGAAACTGGCTACAGGAAGCGAGAAGGCACCTACAGGGAGATCAAGGGAAATGGCAAAATCAAACACTTCAGGAGGTATGCGTCTCCAATCACCAGAATAACACCAGGGAGCTGGTGCCAGGCAGGGATACAAGGAAGGAAAAGACAGCAGCCAATCAGGTCAGCCCCACATGGCAGCATCACGGCAAACACGACCTGGAAAAACACTGCCAAGACCGGACAGCTCACGGCGTCAGCAGCCAGTCTTTCTCACAGATACACGACTTCCCAGAGGGAAAAGAGGAGTGGTGCCTGCTGGAGACACTGCCAGAGAGACATGTATTGAGGACCCTCGGTCAACAACAGGACGCTGTGGGCCTGGATCTGAGGAGTAGACAGACTCCACGCAAAGGCAGATGACAACCCCGTTCTTGTTGTTCATGTTAGAACGAAGACAGCACTTTTTCCATACGCAATTAGGGAATCCTAGGGAGTAAGAGCACCGCATGGCTGAGGACAGGGTGTGCTGAAGGAGGATTCGGTGGTGAAGGCCCCGTGTACAGGCATGACTTGTGAGCTAGAGTGGCACAAACAGCCTGCTGCAAAGACACATTCAGACTGGAAAGACACACATACAAGTCCTCTTAAGGACACTAGAAGCCTTCACCTGATCCCGAGATAAAAAAACGAAAATCCCTCACACACACAGAAGTATCTGAAGGTCACAGAGGGAAAAACGCACAGCAGCATACTGGTACCTCTTGGTTCTCATTTGCTCCTGCAGTTTGCCGTACATCTCCAGGACTGAAAGAGAAGGAGAGAGAACGATGATGAGAAACACAGCACAGAGACTAGACAGCACCAAGGTCAGTCTGGCAGGCTGGCTCCAGCTCCTACAGGCCAGCAGCACAGCTGGGCTCGGAAAACCCATGAAAACTCTGAGTCCAGGCTGCTGAAGTAGACATTGAGGTCAGGCAGCAGGGGCACAGCAACAGGCTGACCAGCGCCGCGGTCAGAGCAACAGGCAGACCAGCGCCGCGGTCAGAGCAACAGGCAGACCAGCGCCGTGGTCAGATCTAGAAGTTAATCAGGGCTGAACCTGGTCAGTACTGGGACGGAAGCCCTCAAAGCATGACCAAGTTAGAGCTGTAAATGACGTTAGTTGAACCAACAGGGGGCGCTCTTCATTCTGGGATGAAAATTTCCAGAACCTGCTAAAGTCCTGTTTACCTGGTCATTAAAAATCTCACGGCACTGTTTTTAAAGAGGGACATATTCGCCCTGCCTTCCTGGACAGGTCAGAGACATTGAGAGCAACTATTATTTATTAACTACTAAATTATTCTTCTTTTTTTAGAGAACTGGCTGGCAAAAGAATTAGAGACAATGAGTGCGGGGTCAGTAACTGCCAGACCCAGGGGTCAGTGTACGTGGTGGGGCCAGTGACCCAGGGGTCAGTGTACCTGCTGGGGTCAGAGACCCAGGGGCCAGTGAACCTGGTGGGGCCGGGGTCTGCTCTCAGGGTAGTACCTGGTAGACACAGCGTCAGCTTGTCTATCGTGGTGGCGATGTTCCTCTGCTGCAGGCGGCACTGTTTCAGCTCCTCCAGCGTCTGCACGAGCTGGGAGAGTGGGGAGAAAACGACATGAGTGTCTGGACACAGGACACGTCATCAAGAGCAGCACACTTCCCAGGAGCACCGGGGAAAACACACAAGTCTACTGGAAAAAAGAGGTTCAGACAGGACGGACAGAGCTGGAAATCCACATGTAAAACCTCTGCTGTCCTGGGGAATATAAACTCCTCAGACTTAACAGAATCCCTCAGCGTGTTGTCAGAACTCCAGCACCAATCCAGTGAGTCTGCTTCTTGTAGGCTGTCTGGAACCGAACTGCTAAAGAGATGGTCTCAATTAAGATATAAATACATCTGACTAAAATACCATGCTTTTCCAGTAGGTCCTCAAACCGGTTTTAGCTAACCTAATTCCATATCTATTTTTTCCCCAGCTTGCGGCAAGCTAATGTTTTTACTTCGGAATTTCCATCCTCACTCTAAATAATGCAGAGGTTTCTTCTGCTCTCCCAAAATCGCTAGAAAAATAAACACGCGCTACGCCCGAAACTGGAGTGGGCACAACTGAAATCGGATACACCAGGAAGCGCTCCGCAGCGCGGTCAGCAAGGCCATACCTCTTTCCCATCGTCCTGCAGCAGCCTGTTGGTGTCGATCACCTGGCTCTGGAAGAGAAGCACAGGACCGTCAGAGACAAGCAGGGAGAGGGGCAGGGAACAGGGAACGGATCGGATCCGGATGGAGAGGAGTGGGTTCTGACCCGGGGGAACATGTCCTCAGGGCCCTGAGGAAGCAGGAATGTCACTGCGTCTACCGGACACTGCTAATCCGCTCCTGGAATTAAGGGAGACATTGCTCTCTGAAGGCTCGGAGTGGCTTCCCAACACATTTAGTGACGCATATCATCACACCACATGTGTGCCCTGCTGTCCCAGGGATAGACCTGACTCCACTGCAGCCCTGCAGCCCAGCCAGATCCAGAATGAGCCAGCTGACGTCATTCAGGTTAGAGCATGAGAGCATGGGCTAGCCACAAGAGTAAGACAAGCTAGATGGGCCCATGGCCCAATTGGCAAACTTTCTTACATTCTTATTTAACATGAGGAAGAATGCAAAGAAGAAGAGCCCAACTGGCACATCTAGATCATTTGGTTGCTGGCAGCTCTCTGATACTAAGATCCTGTCCTTCCCTTTCTTGAAGAGCTACAGAATGAGAATTCTGTTTTTCATATTATACTGCTACAGCTGCGGGATAAAAGAAAATGTCTGCGCCAATCCTGCATGATGCAAAACAAATCTGGCACATACAGGTGTTTGAGTCTCCTCTGTGTTGTGCTTAGTGTTTTGGATTACAGTGTATGGCACAGTGTCTCATTTTTAAGTGATGGTAAAAAGATTCACTCAGGTTAAAAATATTTTGTGAACATTTTCGTATTCATCTGAATGTTTCAAAATATAAGAAACCCAACCGAGGTTTCTTATAAAATATAAGAAACCCAACCGAACACTTACCTCTGCACTTGAAGTCCCCTCCTTCACTTCCCCCACCCCCGTCAAACCCCCTCCAAAACCCACAACATGCAATCACACATAACTGGTTCTGGTTTATAGGAAGGATATAAACATAGAAATGTGTATAGATAATTACATATCTTTATAAAATATTTTATAAAGATTTAACTGCCAGGTAATATTTACAAAGCCAGCAATGCTGTCAAAGCCTTGGCTGGAATTGCTCCACAGCTGCCCACAAGCAACCTAATGTCTTCTTCTTGTCCATCCCCTTTCGCATATTCTTACTTGCACATTTGCTAATTATATGAACTGCACCCTACAAAGCTTTTGTGTAAGGTCCCTAACACCATAACAACCCAACAAACTTACTTTGAGAAAGTGAGCATGAGGCATTACAAAGCTGTGCTCAGTATGCTTGTGAATACAGACTGCGACACAGCGAGACAGGCCCTTTCCTGCAAACCGCAGGAGAACAGGGGAGGAGCGCCCTCTTGTGGACACATGCAGACATCCTGCTGCATTCACTGACAGCTTCAACGGATTACTGAAGGATGGTCAGTGGTTATTAACCCCCAGTCACACAAGAACAGGACCTCTGGCCAAGGCAACAGCACCAGTGGGGAGCCACTTCCCAAGGGACTGCAGCACCAGATGCTGTTTCACAGCACGGTCTGTCACAGAGACCAGGGCTCTATTTCGCATTGTTTCTGAATGAGAAGTGCAATAAAAATTTAAAAACCCCTACACATCTGGAAATAAGTGAGAGTTATTGCCCATTGTTGACGAGGTCTATACTCTTCTCAGGTTTGTGGTAGGGGTGTCTGTGGGGGTTATCAGCAGGCCCACAGCAAGCTGTGCAGGGAAGACATGCTGCACCAGCAGTAAAGCTTCTCCAGCAAACTGGACTGGTGTCTGCATTTCCCAGCAATGCCCTGTCTCCCCCTCCTGCTCCCCATCCCCCCAGTCCACCGTCTTCTCCCTCTAGTCTCCCATCCGCGCCCTCCCTAGCCATTCCCCCATGGTGCCCCCTACTCCTCCGTACCCCCCCACCACTCCTCTCCCCACCCTCGCCATTCCTCCATACGCCACTAGAGTCCTCAATCCTGCCCTCCACTCCTCCAGCCCCCCATGCCTTCATGCAGTCTCCCATCCCGCCCCCACCCTCCACTCTCTACTATCCCTGACCTTCACTCCTCTGCTCCCAACCTCCAGTCTCTGGCCCCCCGCCCTCCAGTCTCATATCCCCGCCCCCCACTCCTCTGTCCCCGCCCTCCAGTCTCTGGCCCCCCACCCT